CCACCATTTATGTAAGTCCAAACTGCTTTATTTCAAGACAGCTAAAAGCTGTGTCTTTACAAGCCTACAATCAAGAATCACTGAAGGTTACCACTTTCACTGTGGTATCTCCAGCCCCACTCTGATGCTGGCATCAAAGCATTAAAGCTCCTTTTGCCACTAGGCTCTGGTACGCTGCTGCTTCTACTCAGCTTCGCCCTTTGAGTCCATCCACAGCCCCTCTGTCCGTGCTGGGACTGGGATTGCTGTGGATTGGAGCTGGGTTCTGATGAAGGGGAGATGTTTTCCCTGAAAGATCAGATGGAAACCCTCTTAACTGAGTGTAGTGGTGAAATGTAAAAAGAAAATTAGCTTGACAGATTGCTATAGAGATAATTCCAAGAGCTGTTGGGGAGAATAGAGGAGTACATTGTTTTTCACTCCAAATGCCCAGGGTAAGCCCTTTCAAAAAGACAGAAGAGATATCTTATTACATTATATTGGAAGATGATGCTATAAGAAGTCAACCATTTTTGGGGTCCCCGAGAAGGGAGACAAGAACTAATCTAAAATTGCAGGGAAAAAAATGCAAATTAGCTAATTGTCAAAACACTATGTTTTGATGTGCTTTTGCACTGGAAAATGCAAGGGACTCTGAATGGGTAAATACAATTGAATGTAAGACAAGAAATCACAGTAAATCTCAGAGGATAACTAGTAAATTATAATAGATAGCTTCCTGTGGTAGAAGAAATGTAACATAGTATTTTTAGATAAAGGATCATCACTGTATAATATAATTTAATAATAACACTAATCATTATTATTTAGATACTCTCCTGTTTCCTGCTTAATAAAATATACTTATTGGTACTGCTTTCCCATTCCTCTTAAGTTTGGTGGGCTCTTGTTTCAATATTCAGTATCAGACGGTGTTAATGACCATGTATGTTATGGTTCACCTCAGGTTTGAATTACTGGATTTCATAGAATCATAGACTTGTCTAGGTTGGAAGGGACTTCTAAGATCATCTAGTCCAACCATCAGCTTAACCCTGATAAAAAACCAACCAACCAACCAAAAAACCCCCATCACTAAACCATGTCACTAAACACTATGTCAACCCATCTTTTGAACACCTCCAGGTACGGTGCCTCAACCACTTCCCTGGGCAGCCCATTCCATGCTTAATAAAATTTTAATAAAAATTTTTCCTAATATCCAATCTAAGCCTCACCTGGTGCAGCTTGAGGCCATTTCCTCTTGTCCTCTCACCTGTTACCTGGGAGAAGAGACCAACTCTCCCCCCCCACATCACTACATGCTCCTTTCAGGGAGTTATGGGGAGCGCGAAGGTCTCCCTTCAGCCTCCTTTTCTCCAGGCTGAACACCCCCAGATCCCTCAGCCTCTCCTCACAAGACTCACTCTCCAGACCCCTCACGAGCTTTGTTGCCCTTCTCTAGACCCACTCCAGTCTTTTTTTGTGGTAAGGGGCCCAAAACTGGACATAGTACTTGAGGTGGGGCCTCACCAGCGCCCAGTACAGGGGGACCATCATCTCCTGAGTCCTACTGACCATGCTGTTCCTGACACAGGCCAGGATGCTGGTAGCCTTCTTGGCCACCTGGGCACACTGCTGGCTCATGTTCAGCTGACAGTTGACCAACACCCCCAGGTCCTTTTCTGCCAGGCAGCTCCAGCCACTCTGCCCCCAGCCTGTAGCGCTCCAGGGGGTTGGTGTGACCCAAGGGCAGGACCCAGCACTTGGCCTTGTTGAACATCATCCCGTTGGTCTCAAGCCATCAATCCAGCCTGTTCAGATCCCTCTGCAAGGCCTGTCTACCCTCCAGCAGGTCGACACTCCCACCCAACTTGGTGTCGTCTGCGAAGTGACTGAGGGTGCTCTCAATCCCCTCGTCTAGATCATTGATAAAGATGTTAAAGAGAATGATTTGTGGCCTGATGCTGATTTTTCTCAAACTTCAGGCACATACTTTCCTTCTTGGCAGTCCTGAGCTTAGTTTACAGTATGGAAACTCATAAACATCTATATAAAATTAAAGAAAGATAAATATTGACATTGCATCTTGGCTCTCTGTCAGGCAGATATCTGTGGTATATGTCTGCATGTGGAGGTCTTTTAGAAACCTGATAGAAGCTGTAGAAATTGAACAGTTTTAAAAATGTGATCGTATTTCCTTTTTATTCCCCTATTTATTCTTTTATTTCTGCTAGTCTTTTATTTATTATAATTTAATTTATATAAAGGGTCTTGTACGGACTTTGAAATACTGAAATACTTAGACATTTTGCATTCCCAGAACAGTATGAAATGGAAGAAAAAACGTAAAGGGCTGCGCTGGTTTGGGGTGGAGCGGAGCCAGCTCTGCTCGGGGAGAGAGGCTCTTGGTTACACCAGTCTGGAACTTTCCCAGTGCCCGCTGGTGACATCTTCTTGGGAGTATGATATGGTTTTGTATATATATATTTACATATACTGTATCTATATATTTATTTCTGTTTTATTGTATTATTAATATTTCATGAAAGTAGTTCAGTTCTTCCTAAATGCATAACTCTCTTTATCTCTCTCCTTCCTCTTCTTGGAATGAGAGGTGGGGGACAGCATCTATTGGCCAACCCAGCCCAAACCATGACAAAGGCATGTTACAGCGCAAAGCCAAGAGTTAAGAGTAGTCAGAACTCATGTAGAATTAGTTACACCACTCTTTGAGATACAGGCTGTTTAATGGTAGTTCGGAATGTTCTTCCTGTTTGTTCAGATAATTTGGCATCTTCATGTTATATTTAACTGTACTGTGACATAACTCATAAAAAGAACAATGACATCGTCAGAGATTCATAGGAATCAAATAAAATGTGCTATCTTCTGCATATTGTCTAAAATATTTAAGAGTAGTTTCAGAACTCTTTGCTTTTTAAAGTATTAGTTCCATTAATTGTTTTAGACATAATTTTATTTATTTTCAGGAAGTAAAACCAGGTTTACTATTAAAGGATGTTACCTTTAAAGTGGTGGTATATGGTGTAAAGCAACGTGAAGATGCTACAAGAACAAAGTACTTGAAAATAATTACTATACACCGTTAATTGCTCAAGATGTACAATGATGTAAATAAAAATGGGATTTTTTTTTGCTCCAGTATGCACTTGAAAATTCTAGAAGCTCTTGAGAGCCAGAAATACTTGACCAATCTTATCCTCGGGACCACAGACAAGTACTTGATGAAGCTATAATTCTGTTTCCTTCCTGAAAACGATTGACTGAATATTTCTCCTGTCTTTCTATTTATCCTTTTAAACCAAATGCTCAAAAGTTACTTTTTTATTAGTAATGAGTTGTAAAAATTGTTTTTAAAAAGTAAATGTAGGATCTCCATGACTGGGTGAGTTTGGAAGTTATTGCAGGTTGGGAAATCTTCTCTCCAAACTTAAAATGAGTTGGAATAGAATAAAATAAACTAAATGAAATGAAAAAGAAGGTGAAAGAAGGATTAAACAGAGAAGAATAATTTGGGAGAAGGTGGGTATGGGTAGCATCTCTGAGGAAATATGATGGATTTACAGATTTGAGAATTGGAAATATAGGTTACATTGTAAATTGAGTCCAAATGGCATATAGATGCCTTTTACAAAAGGTAGAAATGTTATATTGCAGAGAAAGAGGAAAAGAGGTGAGGAGTACTTACTATTTTGGACATGCTGATCAGTTAAGTCTTAAAATCTGTTCTGTGTAGAATGAGGAAATTCTTACACATATTGAATGATGTTTTGTCAAGTAGAAAATGAGTTGAGGTGACTTTGCATTTTTTAAAATGGTGCAATGCATTTAGATGATAGAAGGTATTACCTTTAAAGTATTTCTTTGCATTTTTATAGTTTTAATAATAACACTGGTTGAAATAGGTTCGAGAGAAAAATTTTTCTTCTGCTTTAAAACCAAAAATTAGCTTTCTAAAGTCATGCCCAATTTTCAAATGTGTAAGTGTAGCAGTGCCTCATTGGTTCTCTGTGAAACCCCTCTCTTTTCTACCTCTTTTCAATGTTCAGTGTTCTTAACAGTTTTAGTAAGTACAGTGGAAGGGTAAAGAGAGAAGTTGTGCTGTCTTGCAATTTTAGCAATAAAATTTTGGGTTTAATTTTAGATGGGCATTTCAGAGGCCACTATACGTTTAAAAGTAAAATATACAAAGGATTGTTTGTTTAGAAATGAAATGCTTACACTCTCTTCAGTGCTTGCAAGTTACTTAATTGGTATTACAGCTGCTGCTAGGCCAATCTACTTGCAAATAGTAGAATATATTGTTAGAATGGCTATAACTCTTCTGTTACAGGGTGGGAGTCATGATAAAAATGGAGAAGAGAGTTCATAAAAGTGGAAAAAAAGAGAAGACAAATTTGTCATTGAATAAAATCTCTTTGTTGATAGTCAAGAAGACTGTTAAGTTTACAACAGAATGATTCTTGAACTACCCTAATGTGTGAAATAACACACAAATTGGTAAACATTTCTCTTGTACAAAGTAGCATTTCTTCTGACCATTTCAAATCCAGAATTGTTTGCACATTTTTTGTGGTGTTCTTTATTGAGCTCAGCATATTTTTTTGTGGAAAGTTAAAAGCTTTTTTCTTTTTCTCCTTAACAGAAAGTAATGACATTGTCTGCCTTCATTCCTGAATGTTAATGACAATACATTTAGCTTAATTGCAATCCAATATATTTTTATACATCAGAATTATAATTTCAGGGTGGTTTTTTTTTATTCTTTTCACAGAATATGAATGAAGAATGATGCGATATTAATCCTTTCTATGTACAGCCCCATGAGGATCTTCTCTAAGCAGTTGCAGTAGGAGAAACACTGAGAATAATTTTTCTTCGGTACAATGTGGTGAAGCAGAGGAACTGAAGCTGTCCGCTTTTGTGCAGGAAAAGGACTTAAAATGTTTGTGATTTTGTGAGCAGAAGCAGTTCTGGAGTGAATTGAACTTCTGAAAATGCGGCCATGGACTGGTTCCTGGCGTTGGATTATGCTCATCCTCTTTGCTTGGGGAACTTTACTCTTTTATATTGGTGGACACTTGGTACGAGACAGTGAACATCCAGATCACTCTAGTCGTGAATTATCCAAGATACTTGCTAAACTTGAACGTTTAAAGCAGCAAAATGAAGACTTAAGGCGGATGGCAGAATCTCTCAGGTAGGATCTAAAAGTAATTAATACTTTTCAGAAAACAGTTGAAATATCAAATGTCTGAAATTAAATTGAAAACGTTGTTTGTGGGGTTTTTTTGGTAAAATCACGTTTAACATTTAAAAGTATAGATAAGTGTTTTAATCAGTGCTATAACTGAAAATATATTGCAGAGACTTTAAACAAATAATATACATTTCGTTTTGGTCTAATATAGTAATTATTTAACAGTAATTATTTAATGGTGGCCAAGTGTACTGTCACAATAAAAGAATTCTGTAGGTGATGAGCTCCTCAATGCCAACTTCAAACAAGTACAATTACTAAGATGTTCATACCAATTAAAAGAGCTAATGACTTTTCTACACTTCTGCATGCAGTAACTGGGAGAGCTCTTTTTAAAAGTGATGAAAACCTTTGTGTAGTTTGTTGAAGATAAATGTGGACTTGTTGAAGATGAGCTGCAGTAGTCTGATGCATTATATACGTTCTTTAATTTTTTTCCTTGCCTTGCTGCTAAATTTGTAGTAGTACTTGTAAAATAGGAGGACAATCTCTTTTTTCATAATTTTGTGTTATGTTATAGATGGGTATAATTGTAATATAAAGTGAGGTTTTTTTCACTTTCAGACAGACAGCTTTTAACATAGATTTCTGGTGTCTCCTTTCCTAAGAACTTGCAAGGCAGAGCTTCTTAGACAGGATGTGTGTCCAAGTCAGGTTGGACCTAAGGGTGTACATGCTACCACGTGCAACCTAAAAGTCCTGGTGGATTATGGGGACAAGTGCAGAGAGGCTTCATGTGTTGTAGGAAGCTAGAAAAGAGCAAAGATTAATACAAGATTATACAGAATGGGAGAGTAATGTTTATTTTTAAATTTTTTTAAGTGACCTGAATCTTTACAGTCTCTTTAACAACCACATACTCACAAACACCAGGAGATGTATGTAGCAGTGGTCTTGCATGGATCACCTGTGTAGACCATGGAGAGCAAGAGGAACTGGCAGTTGAGTCTTCATCTTGTCTCTTGGGTGGTTCTTACTCGGCAGCGAGAAACTGATTTTTGGACTTCCTTTTAATACCCTTTAGGAGCAGAGGCCATTTTGTATCTTATACCTTGCTATTTTGCCTCATAAATCATAGCAAAAATTAAGGAATCGCAAAAATCTTTGTTTTCCACACTAGCATGTTTTATGGTTCTAGTCCTGTTCTAGTATCTTTAGGTCAGCTTGTTTCTCCCCTTGATTTTGAATGGATTCACACAGGGGGACTCGTATCTTTAGGTCAGCTTGTTTCTCCCCTTGGTTTTGAATGGATTCACACATAGGGACTCTGTAGCAGTGAAACGAACGCCTTTCCTTTTAACCCTGTTCTGATGTTTCTTCTGGTGCATTCTGAAACGAACGCCTTTCCTTTTAACCCTGTTAACCCTGTTCTGATGTTTCTTCTCATTTTCTCTTTTGTGCATAGCCAGAGATATTTGATCTGGTAGGTTGGGTAGACTTCCCTGCCTTGCTGGATTTTCTTTTCAATGTGCTCTGTTCCTGGTTTCTGGAATGCAACGGTAGATACAGTTGGCAGAGATATTTGATCTGGTAGGTTGGGTAGATTTTCCTGCCTTGCTGGATTTTCTTTTCAGTGTGCTCTTCCTGGTTTCTGGAATGCAATGGTAGATACGTGCTGATGAGGCTTCTTAGCCTAGAAAAACAAATAGCTTAGTTCTGAAAGTGTCAGTCCTGAAGAAGTACCTCAGCATTCATGAGGTGCTGCACAGAGGTGGAGAAGTTCTGCTGACCCAAGTGTCCTTGACATTAAGCATAGATAATCTTCACCTTGGGTAATATGGCCATGAGTGGGTGAGTGGGCTGTAGTTTTTTTTAAGCTCAATTTATTAATATGGTAACAACTGTGTTGGCAAAAGGTTTAATATATTTTTGTTAACAAAGTGGTGTAGTGTAGAGTATGCTGCTATGAAGAAATTTAAGCATAAATACAATGTCTTTGAATTCCTTTAACACTAGGAAATAATAGTCAGCCTTAGGGTTTCTTGCCTCAAAGGGAGAAATATTTGGCCTTGAATGTAAAGATTACCACCCTCCGTGCTTTCAGCCCCCCTTGTCTGCCTGACTTGAATGAGTGATAATGTGATGTATGGCACAGTCATTGAAATATAACCAGTTCAAATTACACAGTGACTAGAAGAGAATAAATGTTCTTGATTTTACTGATGACAGGGTACTCTTCCTCTCAGTAAGGAGGCAGTAGATACAGAAGATGCTTAGATACAGACTAAGCTGTATTTTAGCAGTGCTGATTTTTCTAAACACCTTTCTCTGCTTCCCTATCCTATCTATATTCAGATAAATACTACATTTTCAGTGGCCAAATTTTAAACAATAGCTTGTACTGTTGATAATTTCCTGTGATTTATAGAAATAAAAACATGAGTTTAGTTCTAATCTAAACATGTTAGAATAGATCATTCCAACATTCCTTCTCTATGCTGCAGTAAATTGCTGCAAGTTTCTGCAATTAAATTAGGTCATCCAAAACTGCCTTAACTGGACTCCGTTCAGCTTCTTTTTTTTGTGAATATGTGCTGAAAAATGTTTCTGAGACCTTTTTCTTCAAAGTGGTTGCATGTAACCACAGGAGAATCTGAAACTCTTGCATGAGAAACCCTAAAATGACTTTAAATTCCAATTTGAACAGGAACACATCTCCAGATTCTGTAGTTGGTGCTGGCCAGAAATGAGTTGGCTTGGAACTGGGAGATACTCAAGCGTAGTATTTTGTTGGAGGTGATCTGAGATTGGTGAAGTACTAGAGTTTGAGGGAAGTGAAGTATCACAATGTATAGCCTTTATATTATTTTTATTGAGCAAAACCTGTGATACTGTTTTTATAGGAACTTCACAAATAGGATTGAGAAATATCTTGGTCAGCCTGCATCATTAAAGTATTAAATCATAAATGTGATATAGAATTTCAGTATCTCATTTCTTTGTTTGCCAGGTAGAACGAGTGGTGGTAAAAATAAGTGTTAGCTTTCAAATAGTCCCATTTACCATTTTATAGCAATATTGCTATAAAATAAATAGCTAAAATAAATAGCTATTTAAGATGAGGCACTAGCCAACAGTTCATGGATTCAGAATTCGTGTCATGGAAGAGATCATTGCTGCTGTGAACAGAATTAAAGAACAAAACAAGTTCTTAAGTTCAGAAGTTGAATTAGAATTACACAGGAAAAGATTACACTTGCTCCAGTTAGCATCTTAAAGTGAAGACATAATTTACTTTAGGCTTTACTGATGGGATGCAGAAAGGCTGGAACTATTATTTAATGCGATTTAATTGCTAGATGTTTTGGTTTTGCACTGAAAACTTTTAATTACTGATACTGGCTGTGAAATGTGAGTGATTAAGATGACGGTCTACATCAGTGCATCTTGTAAAGTTAAACCCTCTTGCCAAGCTGGGGTTTGTTACAATGAGGTAAAAACTTGGTTTTTCTGCCCTTCTCCACTGAGGTTTTATATCTAGGGAACTAGAGATTTGTTTTTTTATCTTGACAGAAAAGCAGCACACTATTTGCAGTGAAGATATAGAATATATTACATCATGCAACAGGGTTAAGCTAACACATGAATTTAAGCCTATTTTAGTAATAACTTTAGGTTACTTTGGGAGGAGTTTAAGCATGACGAGAGTATCTATCTGAAAAATTGTAACAATAAACAGGCTTCTGATTAACTTCACTAGTTAAAGTATTTTGACATAATTAAATAAAACTCTTGGATGGTAAAAGCACCGAGTTAATAGAATTTTATCTTAGTGGGCAAAGAAGCCTTGTGAATGGTAGAAAATTACTGTAGTATCTGGCTGTGTCATTAGTAGTAGGTAGTTAGGGCAGGGAGGAAGGGATGGAAAGCAGGTATGGTTACCAGAATTCAGTAGTTTAACAAAAGTATGTTGTTGTAACAATCTCCATTTCAAAGTCAGAGAAAACTGGTATTTCATCTTTAATCAGATCGGGACCTTAGTTGTATGGTAAAATTCATTTCAAGACAATACATTTCAGTTGCCTGGCATTTCCCACTGTAATGGGTTCTGGGGACTTCTCTGACTCGCTTCTCACCTGATAAAAGTGTCCGTCCTCTGGGATGGTTCAAAACAGGAGCTGGGCTGTGCTTTTCATCCAGCCATCCATGAATGCCAGCCTTCAGGGACAAGAAGTGAACTTTCCACTCTGAGATTTGAATGCTCTTTTTGTTGCCAATTTATGTAGCAGCTTCTCATCCCCAAAGACAGCAATGACAGCACAAAAAAAACCAAAACCCAAAAGCATGCCTTATGAAACACACCTTATGTGCATGCAAAATCAGCCATTCAGAAGTTGAGAAATGTCGTATCTGTGACAAAGCTTTATAAAATACCGCTTATCCCTTTTCTGCTGTATGATACTTAAATCATATTTGATCTTTTAATTCTTCCCCTGGTTGCTTCTTTTCACACAGGATGCACGAGGAGTAGAATTAGGTTTTAGGGCAGTCTGTTTGTTTGGGGTTTATTTTGTGGGGTTTTTGGTTTGGGTTCCTCCCCCCAATATTTGTATGTTTAATTTCACAAACTTCATCATGTTCTTCTGGAGTTTTAAAAAATATTTGTAATTTATTACCCATATTGGTCAAGAATAGTTCCTATTTTTGTAAGGATTTTTGGTGAGGTTATTTTGAGATTATTTTTTTTTCAATATGAACACTCACAATTGTGTCAGTTGGAACTGTCGCATCTTTTTGAAAACTACCTGAAATAAAATTATTCCTTTAGGAGCTGAGTACACTTTTGTGGTGCACTTTTGATGACTTGAAGTGACTTCAGGCACCACTTAGTTTTTACAGTGCATTTGAAAAGCCTGAGGTGAGAAGTTACTGTAGTTGGGGTTTTTTTGCCAGTAAGATGCTTTGTAAAAACCTTACTTGTGGGCTATAAAGAAGCATGG